CCTCCCGAAGGCGGTCAACCGGCTCCTTCTCCACCAGAAGGAGGGAAGCCAACACCTCCCGAAGGCGGTCAACCGGCTCCTTCTCCACCCGAAGGAGGGAAGCCAACACCTCCCGAAGGAGGTCAACCGACACCTCCACCAGAAGGTGGGCAACCAGCTCCTTCTCCACCAGAAGGAGGGAAACCAACACCTCCTGAAGGCGGTCAACCAGCCCCTTCTCCACCCGAAGGTGGGCAACCGTCCCCTTCTCCACCAGAAGGAGGGAAACCAACACCTCCCGAAGGTGGTCAACCGGCTCCTTCTCCACCCGAAGGCGGGCAGCCATCTCCTCCACCACCCGAAGGCGGGCAACCATCTCCTCCGCCACCCGAAGGCGGGCAGCCGACTCCTCCACCACCGAAAGGCGGGCAACCAGCTCCTCCTCCTAAAGATGGAAAACCAACTCCACCTGGAGGCGGGAAACCTAATCCTCCTGAATGTAGGATCCCTCCACGAGATAAGTTCGAAGCCGAAGAGCTCAGACGTGACATAAACAACAACTTTAATGGTAATCAGTACTTTTGTTATTCATTAATACATGTGACGAACAAATATTTTATCTTTTTCATTAACTTAACATATCAATGAATTACTTTTTTGTTTGACATGATAAATAGAATCGATTAGAATTGCGAAAATATGTGAAGAACCAAGCAAGACGTGGTTCGGATTGTGCATTGACACAAAAAAGTGCGACAAACAATGTATCGATTGGGAAGGCGCAAGGCATGGAGCTTGTCATCAACGTGAATCTAAATACATGTGTTTTTGTTACTTCACTTGTGGCCCTAAAGACAAGAGGCCACCGGTCCCTCCAGATTGCCCCACGTTGCCCCCAAAATATCGTCTAAGCTCGTGAAAAATACTATCATCCTTCAATAAATTTATACATGTGTGTATATAATATATATATATATATATGTCTGTATGTATAGCAAGCCATTACTTGATTAAGGATAGAGAGAAAATGCAGTCTTATTAAACATCTTGGGTATTCTATATATCTTTGTATATGGTGTAATGTGGGTTGTATGTATAATCAATTAAAGTGTTTCAATGGTATAACAAAATTTCCTTTTATAATGCTTTCGAGTGATAAAATGCAGTGGTTGAAATTTATATGATTGATCGTTTGATACTAGTTTATTTATGATATATGTTAGTTTTGTAAAAAACAATTTGAAACATAAGTACGTAACGGATGTGAAAGGATTTCGGTATGTGCATAACAAAATTGGACGTTAGATGTCTAAATGTTTTAACATATTGTTTTACAAGACTTAAGTTTGTATGACCAAACAATTTTGTTTCTATATGCAAGTATTACAATAAGTTGATAAGAAGTTTTTTTTTTGAGGGGGGGGGGGGGGTGTTCCTAACAAGTTTTTTCGAATATTTCTGAAGATAAGTGTCATATTAGTTTATTTATAGGATATTATTTGAAAAATGCCCTGTGAATATTTTTTTACAGGACACTTGTTTTTATGAGACATATTTTTTCTTCAAATAATGTTATATAGAAAGACTAAAAACATAATTGATTTCAAACATATTCTAAAAGTTGGATTTGCCCAAGAAATTACAAGGCATTCATAACACATTTCACATTTTTCGAATATAAAAAAGTGCTTAGCTGAAGTGGGCATGGCAATCTTGTTGCAAGAGATATTCGAGTGAATTAGAAGTTAAATTTTGCAAAGAAGTTTGATTGTGGATCTTAACATTAGAAAGTTTAGTAACAACGAAGTGGAACTTGTGAAAGTTTATTGGAGATATCATAAGGGGCAAGAAGCAACGTGGGAACCCAAGCTTGAATTGAAGACCAGGTATCCGCACTTATTCGCCTGAAGAATTCCAAGGATGAAATTCTGTTAGGGAGGAGTGTTGTAATAACCCAAAAAATTCAATAATTTGGAAGCCTTTACTCATGTTTCAAGTGTGTTTATTGTAATAACCCAAAAGTCACTAATTTTGTGAGTTCTCTCAATGCTCTTTTATGGAAAGGTTAAATTAATTTATAATTTGTTTTAAACTATATATGATTAGAGTTGCATGCTTACATATATGTGTAGTTCATTTACTCATGTGTTAAGTGTGTCTATTGTTAGGAAGGTGGAGTGATCATCTTGTATAGCAGAAGTGGATATAACTGATATTTAATGTCACAGGTGTGCATGAAGGACGTGCAACCAATATGTAATGATGATCGGGTGTGTATATAGTCATTCGAGTCTACATCATTTATAAATTGTTAATTCAACTAGTTCTGTTGTTATTGTGTGGTATGTTAAGGTGAATATAGAGGAAATTCACTACACCTTTTGGTCTAACCTTGCTTTGTAAAACTGAAACCCTGTTTCTAGAAAGTACCAAGTGGAGAGTGTGTCCAAAGGGAAAGGCAAGCTATGATTTTCATTGCAAAATGGAGTTAGTGGTTTAATTCGAGACCTTCCTTAGTTTTGTAATAGATCTCAGTTGTTGGCCTTACTTTTATATGCTTCAACTCGTGGGATGTAAATTGAATTATTGCTTACTCGCTGAAATTGGCATCAATTTCACATATTATGCTATTTGTCGTGTTTTCTTTTGTTTGAGGTGTTACAAGTGGTAGCTGATAGGTGCCTATACTTAAACTATAAGGAAGACATTCAGTTGAAATATAGGAATGTCAATAGAGGGACCTTTGCATGGACAATTATGATAGGGTAGTGAGGACCCTCATGAAAGGTAAATTCAAACTTACATATGGTCAAGTGACTGTCATATAAAAGTTACTACGTAAACAAGAGATTGGTTGTCTTAGGACGTAGCTCTCAAGACATGGCCGGGGCAGATCTTTACTCATCATCATTCTTCGACAGATCGATCTTAAGAAGATCATTGCTTACTCCTCAGTAGCTCATATGAATCTGGTGACTATTGGTATGTTTAATCTGAACATACAGGGAATTGAAGACAACATGAATACGAGACTATGGAAGTGAAGTTTGGAATAAATATGGTTTTCTATCTTCATATTTCAAAATTGGAGAATCACCAAGGCCTTTTAGGGATTCCCCCCCCCTCCCCTCCCCTCCCTGAAAGAACGTAGTGGTAAACGAAGTTGACTTTGACTTATTTTTATTTTAGATTTCATTTTCCTTCGTCCACCCATTCCAATGGGTTTTGTGTACAATCCTTTCTCTCTAACTATTCCATTAGCGACGAGTTCTAGCTTACTTACGAATATTTTGAGCCAATCAATTTTTTTGTCATGTATTTATCCTAATTGACTTATCTTGAATTACTTTTTCGTGCAACTTTTATTTATATATGACAATTAGGCATTGTTTGACCTTTTTTTTACGTTTCCAAATTCTATGAAAAGGAAAGTCGAATTACAAAAGATATTTTACAAAGTACCATTTTAGAAAATTTAATTTACAAAATTTTGTAAACAACAATTATGAGGTTGAATTATGGATTTGTTTCTTGTGTTTTGATATTTTTTATGACTAGGGTCCTTTGATATTATGTTTATTTATGGATTTGGTCATGTGGTATTCAATTTGTTTGTTAAATATATTCATTAACTTAATTAGTTAAGTTAAAGATCATTTTAGTCCTTTTATCCTTTTTTCCTTTCCCCATTAAATAGGTAAAAGGAATAATATAAATAGCGGAGCGATCAAATACAAAACACACATATTCATATAAATTGTACAAACCGAAATCAACCAATCAAATATTTTTTTCTTTTTCTTTTTATAATAAGGGCAAGCTTGTCATTGTACATGTTATGCGTTAATTATGGAGAATATAAAAATCCTATTATTTTATAAAGGATATTCTTTTATAACAGTTTTTTCTCGAAAACTTTTATGATAATTAGTAAAAATCGGGTGTTTTTATTTTTCAGAATTTTCTGGATTTGAAGAATGATGTTATCGATATTTTCTAGTTTTTAAGAACTTTTTATGTGATTTCTACATGAGTTTTAGTATTTGAGTGATTCTGTTACCATTTTAAGAAATTTTTATGTGATTACGTTTGTTGAGGAGGTGCTAAACGTATGTGGTTATAGGGTTGCTAAACATTGAGTTCAGAAAATGGAGCACCTATATGGTTGACAAGAAACATTTGTGATGGTAATGGTGCTCTTGGGGACATATACAAGTGATTTTGAAAAGAGCATGAGGCCAATGTCAGTTAGCGTATTAAAAGGGTTATGGTTCTAAGAGACAACATTTGTGAGGATGTTCAATATGATTAAATGTACATGGGAAATTTATTTGTGATGAAAAGAGACCGATGTGATGATGAAAAGTCATATACTATATGTGATGGGTAAGGGTGGGTGACCTGGTCACCCATCTAATTGGCCATTATAAGAGATGTATGTGTAATCACTCTTATACCATTGGGGCATGAGACTATGGAACGTATGGAAGTTCCATAGAGACACAATCAAATAGTGTTATGATTGGGGAACATGGTACTAGATGTATTGGAGGGACTAGTATCGGGAATGACCAAAAACTCGTCAGCCTTGGTGTCAATATCCAGATTATACAAGGACTTATTAGATGTTGTATGTTTTTATAAAAGGGAAGTGATGATGAGATCAGGGTGGAGAAGATATGATGGGTTAACAATGGAATGGATCATTATTAATACTAACGATTAATAATACTTAAATTAAGTTCTATATCTATAAACTTAGTATGAAAATTTCATTTACCCCCATATTGTATGAATCTTAGATATCGATCAAGATAGCTATAGGGAGCTATGGGAATGCACATTTAGCCATGTTGCTTAATGCAATGATAGGTCGTAGTCAAGGCTTTAACTGAGAAGGATGTTAACACAAGGGTATAAATGTAGTTTAGTCTGTATGAAAATTTTAACAACTGTAGAAGTTACGGCTGGTCTATGGTACAGACCAATGTGATGAGACATGGTCAAGGGGATGTCAGTAAAAGGGTTGCACATGTTTGTTGGATGCATTCCTATATGACAAACATAAAATTTGGGACAAGACCACGTAAGAATAGTATTGATGAGGATGGGGGGGTTAATCCACCCAAGATCCCTAAAAAGGAAAAATGACCTTCACTAGTACAAACTCCAATAAATTCAAGTTAAAGGAAAGTCCAATTGTTGGGTAAATCGAACCACGATGATGAATAGTGGTTTCAAGATCTACGACAACAATGATCCTGATAGAAAGTGACGTATATCGCCATATTACATTGTTGTCTCATGAAATAAGAGGTAAGAATGAAAGTTGGCGAGAATCTTTACTGTGGGATCAGTTGAAGGATAGATGTGTCATACAAGTACTATCCTTGGGTTTAGGATGAAAACATAGAATTAGAGTGTGGGATTGGAGGGTAGATCAAAGAAAATACAAAAATATGTGAATCATTTCACAAAGATATCAAGCTAGACCAACGGTAGGTGGACTGAAGTTAGACATCAAATAATGTGTAGTCTTGATTGTTTGATCATCATCTATACATGTTATAGAGGTGGGAAAAATAACAGGGAAAACAACTATAAGGCTATAGAAGGAAGAAGATGAAGGTGACATGGACAATCCAAGCAAGGGTCTTGAAATATCCAAGCATTTTACGACAAAAAGAATGTTGATCAACGAACAGAGAAATCAAATATTCCAATCAACAATAATTAAGTGAAACGTTAATGAAGTGAATGCAAGATCATGTGCTCGACATGTTACTAATGTGGCAAGTCAGGTTTATAGCCTAAGATTAGATAAAAGATATGACTTGCATTAGATAAGGGTTAGAGGAGCATCAGTGTGATGATTGTGCCAAAGTTGGTAGGGAACAACTTGGGAAATTAAAATTTTAT